TGTGTATGAGTTTCTGTACTTGGCCAAGTGGTTGTATGGGGGTCTGTATGGCAAGAGGCCTGTTCTTTCCCATCAGGATGTGTCTGCAAGCAGATGTTACTGTAGGGTGAAAGTGAAGACAGCCAGACAGTGCCTATGCCTCTGATGTTCCACCCGCCATGCCAACCTCTACCGTCTCCCCACTACCCTGCAAGAAGTTCACCTTGGAGGCTTCTCTGAAAAAGTGGAAGATGGCAGCCAAATCTCCTCTCTCTGGACAGGGACAGGAACTCCCACTGACTTTGTTGTCAGACAGGCGCCCCCCCCCCCAAGAAGCCCAAGGCTCCTTTCCTCTCTCCCTGAGGTCTGCCAGGACAGCTCTGTCATTAAGTGGACTGAGAACTGATTCCCAGGGACACTCCACCAACCTCTGCACCCTCCCTACCTTCTCCCTTCCTGCACTCCCTCCTACAAGCCAGTACCTCAAAGATCTTGGTCACTGTAATGCACTCAGCAAGTGGGGACGAAGGATCAGTATAGTTCCCGATCATTCTCTGCTACACAAGTTCAAGGCCAGTCTGGGCTCTATGAGACCCAGTCTTCCCTCCTCTCAAAACAGCCTTTGCCTGAGACCAGCCTTCTCAGCTGTCATCCTTTTGGAAGTTCACCACAGGCCTTCGAAGTTCCGAACATCCCACAGCACCCTCCCCCTCACTTACTTCGGTTCTCTATGGAAGGAATGGCTGAAGAATTACTGTCCAAGGGGTCACAGACATCCCCAAAAACCTTTCCAAACCTATCTGCTCATCCTGGACCCCATGAGGCAGGAAGGTGCAGTTCTATCCCTCCCAAAGCTGAGGCACTGCATAGCGAAGCCTGTCGCACATAACTAGGGACAGATCCAGAGTCTGGGCTTCCCCATGGGGCCTCCCAGGGCACCTGCCCAAGGCCACCCAGCGCGCCAGCCCAGGCAGCGCCGGTGGAGCGGAGCCGGACCTCCCAGTGGCCGATGGGGGCGGTGACCGCCCGGGGCCTTCCCACGGTTCGGTGGCGCGTCACCGCGGGGGCGAGGGGGCGCCTGGGCGCCCCGGGCTGCTGTGCAGGAAAGGGCCCTGGGAAAGGGCGGCGTCGGCTCCCGAGCCGGGGCGGGGCCGAGGCGGGACCCAACAACCAACTCCATGGATCGCAGGAGTGAGACCCCGCAGCCAGCTCTAGCCATGAAGCGGCCCAGGGCGCCCAGTGGCTCCGATGGCGAGTCCGATGGACCCATTGACGTGGGTCGGGAGAGCGATCTCAGGTAAGACAGGGTGGGGCTGAGGCTGTCGAGGGTGTGCACAGCAGCACACAGGTGTCAGCCAGGGTGCCGGTGTGTGTGCAGTGTCTCCAGTGTGTCCATAGCAGTGAGGCAGATTGTTGGGTACTCCGGGGCAGCTAGGGTTCAGGACGCTAGGATGGAAGGAGAGTTGGGCTGGGAGAGGGCATATTATGCCATTTGGCTATTCCCAGGGACGCCCCTGGAAAGTTCCGGCAGATCTTAGGAAACCTTCAAAGACAAAGGTTCCACATTCCCATGCCCCTAATCTATTTACTGTGAAGACATCTGTACTTCCCCGATTTTACCGTGCTTTGGGAGCAGTTTTCACATGGGACACAAAAGGATGGGGGGATGTTTTTCCTTTTGAGTACAATGAACGCTGGAATTGGGTTTAGGTACTGGGGAAAAAAAGCCAATTTGGAAGAGCCTAGACTCCAATCTCAGTGCCCCTTCCACCAAACCGCCCAAACTGCCAGTGTTGTTCCACTTTTGTTAAATAGTCTCACTTTTAACCTGTGGAACAAACTGAACTTGAATGGTTCCCAACCCTGGGACTCCATAAGCTTCAGTGTTCTGATCTGTAAAATGGGAATAAATAACAAAGCCAGCTCCATAGTGTTAGTAAAAGTCAAGAGGAAGAATGTATGCCAAGGCCTTAGCAGCAGCTCAAGGTGGATGCTTGATGTCAGGTTCACACCCTGAAAGAGTCTTCAAGCCCTTGCCACCTAGCCCACATCTGCCACCAAGTCACCGTACAGCCTGCCGTTCTCTCCCTTTCTTCTTTCCTCTCCTCCTCTCCCTCCTCCTCCTCCTTTTCCTTTATTCAGTGCTAGGGATTGGATCCAGACCCTGGTGCCTATGGCCAGGCAGTTCTGAGCCTTTGGTTTCCCTGCCTGAGTCTGTTTCCACATTGGGAAAAGGATAAGAGTGGAAAGGATAGAAAGAGGAACTGAAGTAGATCATCTGTCTTGAACTTCTAAGCTTTGCCTCTGACCACCATACTCAGCTGTGATACACATAGCACACACATACATAGCATGTTTGAAAGAGGCTGTGGCCAGCCATGAGGACACCTGCCTTTAATCCTAGCACTTGGGGGGGGGCTTTATGAGATCTTTATGAGCAGTAGAGCTACATTTTTGAGCTAGTGAGACCCTATCTCAAAAAAACAAATAACCAAATGAGAGGGGCTAATAGCAATAGATCTCTCTCTCTCTCTCATCTCGCATGTTAGGGGTGGGGACGTGTAATATAGTTCTTATGTAGACCCTTTAAAATTACTTGGCAGAAACTGCTATTTATAGAAATAATTCTCAAGCCAGCGCTGGTGGCACACGCCTTTAGTCCAGCACTCAGGAGGCATAGGCCAGTAGATCTCTGTGAGTTTGAGGCCAGCCTGGTCTACAGAACTAGTTGCAGGACAAGCTCCAAAGCAATACAGAGAAACCCAGAACCTACAGAACAAAACAAAATAAAAAGAAGGAGGAGGATGAGGAGAAGCAGAAGGAGAAGGAGAAGGAGGAGAAGGAGAAGGAGAAGGAGAAGGAGAAGGAGAAGAAGAAGAAGAAGAAGAAGAAGAAGAAGAAGAAGAAGAAGAAGAAGAAGAAGAAGAAATAAGTCTCAAAGCCAGTGTCTGCTGATAGGGAGGGAACCAGAACCTCATGGGGATGAAAAAAGATCTCAAACTTGGTGCCATTGGGTCTTCAAGGACCAGCGTACATACAGAGTTGATGCCAGAGAGCTAAAATGGGTCCGAGCCAGCTTCTATCCTTCATGAGTATACAGCCTGGGCAGTGACTGCCAAGAGTTACAGAGGTCTGGATTGGATGGAAGAGTCCAGTGTCAGCTTTGAGGGCCCTCAAGTGGGGAGAGGGCACTCACAGCCAGGGATGATGAGAATGGCTTCCTGATGGTGGCAGCACTGTGGCTAAGGTGTAAAAGGTCACTGCAGCTTTTTTCCCCCTCTGTATCTTTTTGTCATTTTAGCCAGAGCTAATTGTTAGAGACTGTTCCAAAAGACCAGACTCTTCCATGGAGGAAAGGCAGCTGGACATCTGGCAGACTGACTTATAAGATGCCTCTTTGTAGCACTTTCCAAAGGGCCCTCCCCCCAGCAGACATAAATGCTTCAATTCAGAGACCACTGAACGATGCCTGCTGTGGCCTAGACCCTGGGCCGGGCATCAGAGCCCAGATGTAGCCTGCTCAGCCTCTGCCCTCAGGGAACTCTCAGGGAAGAAGAGCTTCACATACAAAGAAAACCAGATAAACAGTGGCAGGGGCCACAGAGCTGGGGCAGCCAGACTCTGGGGGTCAGAGGCAGTACACACATCCCTCACATTCAGAGACTTGAGACCAAAGGGGCAGGGTGTGTTCTGATGTCACCAAGGACATCTGCCTGGTGGCAGCAACCTGCTCCATCCGTGGGAATCACCCACAGAGCTCTTGTCTGAACTTGGCCCCCTAAGACAATCTGGATCCACACAGAATCCAGCCTCTCCCCTACCCATCTTCAAATACTTCATGAGCGCCTCCCACATGTCAGACTCGAAGTCAGGGTCTCCAGGCTGTTCCTCTATGATTTAAGGCACACGGTCGTCTTTGAAGTCAGAGAGACCTGAGTTTGACCCTCCCCGCCATTTCCTTGTGTAAATGACTTTACCTCTTTCCTGAACTGACATTTTCTTTCCTTCTTTCTTTCTTTTCTCTTTTTACAAAATGAGTGTGTAAACATCTGCCTCTGAAGGTGAGGCTTGGATGAGGTTGTATCTACATATAGCACCCAGTTTCTTGCTTTGGCACAGGTAATTTCTAATGAATGTTGTCCCATTGCAGGGAGGGTGTCACATTCACAAGGCAGCAAAGTGTAATGGAAAAACTAGAAATTCACAGACTGCATTACGGGGCATTCTCACCTCTGTATCTGTCGCATCCCTTCCCCAAAAATGGTTGTTTTCCCCAGTGTGTGAGACAAATGGCTATGCACTGCTGCCTAGAAGTGAAAGTGCAGGCCACAAGAGAGACATGGTGGGAAGATGGGCATTTGGGATGCACTGGCAAGAGTACTGGATTAAAAGCCAGTAGATGTGGGGCTGGAGAGACGGCTCAGTGGGTTAAGGTTTGACTCTCAGCACCGTGTTGGCGGCTAACAACTACCTGCAACCCACATTCCTGGGCACCTGGTGCATTCTTGCACAGACATACATGCAGGCAACACACACATGCACACACACACACACACACACACACACAATGTAACTCCGACCCTGGATTTCCCTCTTATTGCTGTGTGGCTGGTCAAAGGCCCTTTCTCTCTGTGAGTGTTCTCATTTCACAAATAGTCTTAGTTCTGTGTGACTGTCCATCCTTTAGAGCACTGATTGGAATGCTGCCTTTGCTTGATATAAAATGAGTGGAGTGATGACTCCAAACGACCCACACAGGGGAGTGCCCAGGAGGAGTCGGGACTGGTGTTCAGGACTGGCAGCTCGACCACTTAGAAAGCTACAGCACCTGAAGGGACTGCCCTGGAACCCTGTCTAGGGCCTGTAAGAAGTCCATGGAGATACTGGCCTCTCCTCTCTGGGTCCATGAAGATCTGCTAGACTCTCAGAAGAGAGGCTCTCAGCACTCTTTCCACTGTCGGGCCAGAGCCCAGGCTGTGGTGAACGCTGGCTAAGAGCCGGAAGGGTAAGGGGATTGGAGGGCTAGTCAGACAGACAGGAAGTCAGACTTAAGAAGGAAAACAATGCTGAATTGGGAGCCAGAAGATCGGTTCCCATGTTGCTCTGCTCCTTAGCAGCTGTGTGGGCTGGCCAAGCCACTTTGGCTCCCCGAGGCTCAGCATCCTCATCTGGAAAATGGACTTTTATAAAACCCAGAGGAGAGAGATGCTTGGCATTAGTGCCAAGCAAACTGTAAGGTGAGATTTGGCTGGGAAATTCGAAAGAAGGGGCAGATCAGGTGGCAAGGGGAATTGACTGGGGAAAGGTGGGACAGTACACTTGGCCCTGAAGCTGGGTGCTGCCCTGTCAACCTCTGACAGAAGGTCCCTGAGGAGGGATCGGTCTGTGAGGCAGTGACGTGCTCAAGGCTAACCCAATACCCAGAGAGAGGCTTTATCCTGCCAGGGAAACAAAGGCTGCATTTCTTATGTACCTTGGCTCTGAGAGCTTGTCCCCAGTGAACCAGAAGCTTTGTAAACAAACTGCCCTACAGATCTCAGGCCCTGGCTCACAGGGCCGGGCCTCCCAGAAGCTTTCACAGGCCTCTTAGCAGCTCTGTTTGTCCAGATGTGAGGGTGAGAGATACATTTTTTCCCAGATGTGGCTGGAACAAGCCTGAAGCCATGTGCTATCTGATCTCTCCTAAAGCTGCCTTTCTGTGAGGTACAGAGAATGACCCAGCCTCAGATGCCACCAGGAGAGTCCCATAGGCTGAGACCCTCCTGGTGAGGTGCATATGTCCTGGTCCACAAAAGCCCAGAAGGTAGATTTCTATGGTGTCCATATTTACATTCTCTGTGACACTAAGATAAGTGTGGAAGTAAGAATCCCACTGTGAGACCTGCTGTGTCCTATTCTTGTTGAGGACCCGAACTGTAACAGTGAGTGAGCTTGTAGCCTCATGGACCTGTCTGTTGGAGAGATGGTTGCTAATCAAATGATTGTGCAAGAGTAAGACAGGCTAAATGTGTGGATGCAGGAGTGGAGTGTGGAAAATTAAACAGCAGGGGACATGCAGCAGACTAGGACTTTAAAGGGGGAAGGGGCTCCTAAAGGAATTGAGTGGCAGCCTGAAGGTAGGTTGAAGTTGTTAGGCTGTGATGAGGAGGTGAGAAGATGGACTGAACCAGAGACTTCTAAATATAGGACACATAGGCAAATGAAGGAGAGTTAGTGCATTCAGATTGGAGCTTGCAGAGCTAGTGACAATTGAATCTAAGAGGTGACAGGATCCAGTTGGACCAGCCAAAGGAGGATGCTTTGGGGTCTTAAAAGCATTGAGAAGCTTTTAAGGGGAGACTAAGAGGGGCAAGATCAAGTCTGTATTTAAATGTTCGCTCTACTAGTTGTGGCAGGGGAAAAAATATGCAGTAAGACCTGAGGAAAGGCTCTTCTTGTGAGCCTGCGGGTGAGAGACATAGCGGGCCATGGAGACCAAGAAAAGAGGCATGAAACTATCCAGGGACGGTGTAAGAGGGCTTTGACCACATAAGGTGAAGACGAAGGCGGGATCAAAGAAAGTGCTAGAGAACTAGAACCTGGGGGTGACCTCTGCTGAGATAGAGACCCTAGGTAGACAAAAACCAGGTGCTGGGCAAGCTCATGGGCTTCTGTTGAGTGTGTTGGCGTTCCGAAGTGGCAGGGGCAGCACCTTGCCCAAAGCTGTGGAGCGTAGCATCAGTAGGGTGCTATCTAGTAAACTTGGTGCTCTCTAGTAAACTTCTGCCTTCTGAGAGGATAGCTGAAGCAAAAAGCCATCCAGAGGAGTGATTACGTTGGTCAAAATCTGGGCAGGAAACCCCTCTCCTGAGTTTTTGTAATACAACTATTCGGGTTGGAGCAAACATCTGGCTTCCAGCCTGGGCTTCAGAGAAAAACACAGGCATGGACAAGCAGGGAGAGGATACCTGGACCTGTGCTTTCTGGGAGGCCAGAGCACTGTCCCGGAGTGTGCAAGAGGAGCCTGTGACCCAGATGCCGCCTCCGCCTCGCCCCCGGCCGCGCCGCGTGGGAGGAGGCGGCAGCTGCAGGCCGGGCGGAGGGCGGGCGGTGGCGCTCGGGCCCGTGGGAAGCGGCGGCATCTGCTCTTTCCACGCTCCTTCCCAGCGGCTAACTCTGAAATCCAACCCTCCCTGCCTGGCCCGGCCGCCGCTGGCCCGCGCCCTCAGTCAGCCCGCCCCCGGGATCGGATTGCAGGACCCAAGAGGGAGCATCTTGGTTCACGGTTCCCTGACGGTCGGCCGCCCGCAGGGGCAAGGGCTCTGCGAGCTACCCGCGCGTCCGCAGGAGGGTGACTCGAAGGAAGCTAGGAGAGCACAGAGAACTTGGCCCCAGAGAAATGGGTCTCCAAGAAGAAAGAAGGGAGAGTAGGCCATCCCTCTGCATGCCCTATGCCCCTTCTTGGTTTGGGGACTATGGCCACCTGGGAGCCCCATCCCACCCCAATGCACCCCTGTCCCGGCCTGCTGCCAGCTGGGCCTCCCAGGTCAGCCTAGGCCAGGGAGATGATCCCTCAGCTCTGAGAAACTAGCCTTTCTCTTCCTCTGCAGCCAGATGGCCAGACCACTGACCACCCCCAGCCCTTCGCAGATGCAAGCCCGGAAGAAGCGCAGAGGGGTGAGTGAGAAACAGCTTTTGAGGAACCCAGTCAGAGTATGCACTGAATCCAAGAAGGCTGTGTCCATCATCCCAACTGATTGGACAGTTTCAAACCCAAGCTCTGCCAATTGCGATCCTGTGGCTGGGCATGACACCTCTCCTTCAATGTCTTGTTTCCTCCTTTGAGTGACAGGTAGCTAGCACCTACCTCAAAAGACTGATTTGTGGTTTGTTTTTCAAATACACTATGCAATTGAGGATGCTCTTGAACTCCTATTCTTGCTCTCTCGACCTCCCAAATGTTGGGATTATAGACATGCACCACCACATCTGGTTGTTGCAATACTGAGGATTTAGTTCAGGGTTCACACATGCTAGAGGCAAGCACGCCACCAACCTAGCTACATCCCCAGTCACCAAAGGGCTGTTCTGAAGATTGAGTGTGTCCCCATGAACTCTGATGGGCACCTGACAGTAGGCCATTAATACTTTTATTATTGTCTCCCCTCTACTCTCTTTCCTCTGAACCCAGAACATTCTTTTCCTCTTTGTGTTAAGCAGGAAGGTGCAAAGAGGAGCTCTCTGGGATCTGGCAGGAGCCAGTCATTTATTTACTCACTCACCAGAAGACTTAGGCAAATCATTTTTCTCTACCTCATATTCTGTCTCTAAAAAGTGATGGATTAGCTAGGCAATGGTGGCATACACCTTTAATCCCAGCACTCAGGAGGCAGAGGCAGGCAGATCTCTGTGAGTACAAGGCCAGCCTGGTCTACAGAGTGAGTTTCAGGACAGCCAGGACTGTTACAAAGAAACCCTGTCTGAAAAAAAAAAAAACAAACAAAAGTGATGAATTATAATTTCTACACAGCCATGAGAATTCTGTTGACAGAGTTGTAGAGAAGATGGAGATAGTGTGGGTGAAGGGCCTCTGCAGCTGGAAAAAGCAAGACCCAGAATTCTTCAGGTGTTCTCATGATCCAGAAACTGGAGGGTTAACTCTGGCCCAGCAGGTCCCCAGGTCTATACCATTGCTGAGGCCAGTTGTCTCCATTCTGAGAGGCAGTGCCCTGCTTTACCTAAGGTGACTGTCATCCCTACAGACCAGGACAAAAGGCCGGAGTACTAGTCCCAGCTCTGTGCTTTTACTGTGTGACATTAAGCAAATTATTGTCATTCTGAACTCTCATTCTCGCCCTCCATAAATAAAGAATAGATTTACCACCCAGAAAAAAAATATCTTGAGGGAAAATATGAGTCAGTGTCCATCAGGGCACACTGGAAAGTGTGATGAAATGCCTCCAGGGAACTTCTTGTCATCATTTTTCAGATCATAGAGAAACGGCGCCGAGACCGCATCAACAGCAGCCTTTCCGAATTGCGACGCTTGGTGCCCACGGCCTTTGAGAAACAGGTCTATGACATTGCTGATTGGGTAGAAGGCAGGGTGTGGTTCCCATGGTGTCTCCTACTGCTAGCAGAGCTATGACCATTTATAAATAGCTGTCACTGGAGTCTGGGAAGATGATTTAGAGGGTATGAGTGCTTGTTGAAGATCTGAGTTAAATCCACAGCAGACATGTAAAATCCAGACACAGCTATGCACATCTATAGCACCAGCATTGCGAGGCAGAGACAGGCAGCTTCTAGGAGCTGGGACAGTGAGAACTTGAGTTCAGTCTGGGTCTCACATTGTGGAAGGAGAGCTATGACTCCAGCAAGCTGGCCTCTGACTTACACACACACACACACACACACACACACACACACACACACACGTAATTTTTAAAATGTAAGGCTGGAGAGGTGATCCAGCAGTTAAAAGCACATGCTGCTCTCCAGGGAATAGAGTTCATACCAGCCTGCAGCTCACAACTTCATATAACCCCAACTCTGGGAGATTTGATGATGTCTTCTAGCCTTTGTAGGCACTTGTGCAAACATAAACATACATTCATACAGATACACACACTACATAGAAACAATAAAAATCTAAGAAAAAATAAGATGGAGAGCAATAAAGGATGGTACTCTATGTTTGTTATCTCCTGACCTCCACGTGTACTCATGGGTACCACACATACATGCACATGTACAAGGTGTGCATATGCTACACACATGTGCATACACACACAAGTCTGCATAGTTGTCACTGGCCAAGGGCACAAGAGGAATAGAGGATTATACTTAGCAAGGTGTCTTGGGTATAGTGGCTTTATACCTGATGTGCCCCTTTGAATGAAATCCTAAAAGTGATCCTGAGAGGCAGGGGTTATTCTGCACATGTCATGTTGTATCTATCCCCTAAATTACATGGCTAATAAATATCTGAGCAGCAAGAGCATCTGGCTGTATCACATGTCCCCTGACATTTCTAGAGCTCTTTGAAAGTAAAACCGGCAACTCGGAGAGCGAGCACCTGTTTTGAGCATCAGGGATGGCGACTGCAGTGGAAAGACAAATGGTTGAATCAGACTGCCTCAAAGATCCTTACCCTATGCTCAAGGCTCAGGTCACATGTCATCTGCCTTCCCTTAGGCCAGTAAATACAAACGTTCATTAAAACCTTCTCAGAGCCAGCAATGGACTAGGCTTGGTGTCTATATTTAAGGGACTGACATGGAGAGTCTCATCCTCTGGTTTCCCATGAGAGCCAAGGTCCCCCAGAGGCTTAGGAAACATTTCCCAAGAGAGAACAGAGGAAGAGCAAGCACTTTGGGCTCAGATGATGGGCTAGGACTTGGAGATGCTGGAGTTGGGTCCCCAGGGTTAGCAGGAGTCTGGTGATGGCAATGGGGCCACGGAAATAGAGGAGTCCTCTGGGAGAGAGGCGGGCCGACATTCACTGAGGGCATTTTAGGAGAGAGGCACCTAGGAGGCAAAGTGGGTGGAGACTGAAGAGGATTCAATCAAGGCGGTCGAGGTGGAGAGGGATTTTAGGATGGAGCCCCAGCAATGATGTGGACAGGTAGACTGGGGTGTGAGCACCTTTCAGACTTGGAGAGCTTGGACAAAGTGGCTGTCCCAGTGGCCAGGGTGGAGGACAAGGGTGGAAGCCCAGGCAGTGAATGCTGATGGGGACAAGAGGGCAGTGAGCAACAGCAGCCATTTGTAGCCTTCACCCTCTGCCTTCCCTACCCACAGGGCTCCTCCAAGCTGGAAAAGGCCGAGGTCTTGCAGATGACAGTGGATCACTTGAAGATGCTCCATGCCTCTGGTGGCACAGGTACAGATGCTCTACTCCCTTGGGAGTTACTCACACTACAAATACTTTGACACACTGCCTGGGGATTAAGCTCAAACTGGTGGCCATAGTAGGTTGTCATTGCCCTCCTGTGGGAGGACTGAATTAGAGCCCAGCCTCCATTTGCAAAGCTCCCCTCTCTTCTTTAGTTTCCTTCTATTTTGGTGTTTGTTCTGAGAAAAGGGTCTCATTCTGTAACCCCAGCTGCCCTCAAATTCACAAGTCACCCTGCCTCAGCCTATAGAGTTCTGAGATTGCAGGCAGGAGCCACTGCACTCTCTTCTTTTGTAGAAGACACTACTACCTATGTCTCCATTTGTCAGAACCCTTTCTTCCATTCGACTCCTCTTAGAGGATTGTTCTGTGGACTGGGCTTCCAGAAGACTCGCCAGCAAACCTGGGTAGCAGGTAGCTTGGATAAGCAAATTTCCACTAGACTCCCAGTCTTCAACTAACCTGAACCCTGGGAGGAAATTACCTGAGATCTTTAGCCACAGACATCCTGTTGGTGTCTCTACCCGCTGGCCTAAGTTTCTGCACTGTTGATGTGTCCTGGTGGACAGCACTGGAAAATGAGTCACACGCACAGCTGGTGTCAGATTCTAGGAAGAGGCAAGTCATTCCATCGTTTTGCTAGCGCCTTCCATTAAAATCCTGGAGCAGCTATGACTTTTAAAAGATTCCCAGGTGAATGGGAATCTTGTTTCGAAGCTCCTAGGTGTGTTTGGTGATTTCACCACTGGGAAGCCTTCACACCCCACAGACCTCAGCTACAAAGATGTAAAGCTCAAGAACAGCTTTCAACTCTGGAAGAGACCAGTGACATTTTAAGTGGTCCAAAGCCATGCTACTCAGCAGTGGCACCTGGGGGCAGGCAGCATTGCAGGGTCTCTCCGAAAGAGCCAGTCTGGATTAGACTGTAGGAATTTGCAAGTTGCAGACCTACCAGATAATTCTAATGTGGGGGCTCCTTTTGAAAGGTCTGCCAAAGGAACGCATTCCTGATGGTGGCATCCAGTGCGGAGATGCTTCAAATTATATTCATGGTTATCCTATTAAAAGGAAAGTAGTGATTAGCATGTGGGCAGCACTTTAAAATGTTTCCACTTATCTCACATCATTCTCACAAGAACCAGGAAGGAGGGGGTGGGGTAGGCTATCCTCACCACTCTGGTTCAGGCCAATGGAGAGGTCAGAGAGTGGTTGGGAGTTGAGGCTTCTCATTTGAATTCTGGTTCTGCTGCTTCCAAACCTTGTGACTTAAGAAAATGGTTTTTATCCTCTCTGCCCCTGAGTGGGTATGGTAAAAGAGTGTTTATAAGGATTAAATTGGATACTGGAGAGAGTTGTGTGATAAGAACTCAGCAGACTTTGCTTAAAAAGAACAACATAGCCAGGCATGGTGGTGTGCACACACACCACAGCTCTCTGGAAATGGAGGTTGGAGGAGCAGGAGTTCAAGACCGTTGTAGGCGACACAGTGAGTTCCAGGCCAGTCTGGACTACCTGAATGGTTATGTAAAAATTACTAATTAACTAAAAGAGGCTGAGGCTGTCACTCAGTTGGTAGAGTGCTTGCCTAGTACCCACAAAGCCTTGGGTTCAACCCCTAGCATTGTGCTAACCAGGTGTGGCGGCACAGGCCTGCAATCCTAGCACTTGGAGTGTGGCGATAAGAAGATCAGAAGTTCAGCTACATAATGAGTTGAAGGCCAGCCTGGACTACATTGGATCAGGTCTCAAAGTATATAAAGAAATAACTGTTTCAGCTGGCCAGTGGTAATACATACCTTTAACCCCAGCACTCTTGAGTTCTAGGCCAGCCTGGTGTAGTGTTATTTTGTTTGTGATCTAACAAATAAAGCCTGCCTGAAGATCAGAGTGCAGAGCTAACCACACTAGTTAGCCATAGAGGCCAGGCAGTGGTGATACCCAACTTTAATCCTAGCACTTGGGAGACAGAGGCAGATGGAGCTGTTAGTTCAAGTCCACCCTGAGCTATACGAAATTGATCCAATCTAAAAGAGAAACAGAGCTCACACAAAGGTGACCCCAGCACTTGGGATCCCACACCTTTAATCTCAGCACTAGGGAGGTGGAGGCAGGAGTGACATGGCTGGGAGGAGAGAGGAATATAAAGTGGGAGGAGACAGGAGTTCATGGCAGTCTGAGGCAGCTGTCTGAAGCAGTCAGTCTGAGGACAGGGCCCCCCCTACCCCCTTTGGTCTGAGCATTGCTAGAGATAAGAGTTCTAGTGGCTGGCCACTCTGCTTCTCTGATATTTCAGATTTTACCTCCTGATAGCTGACTCTGGGTTTTTATTATTAAGACCAAAGAGAACTCGTGCTATAGCCTGGTCTACAGAGTAAGTTCTAAGACAGCCAGAGCCACACAGAGAAATCCTGTCTTGAAAAACAAACTCACTCTCTCTCTCTCTCTCTCTCTCTCTCTCTCTCTCTCTCTCTCTCTCTCTGTGTGTGTGTGTGTGTGTGTGTGTGTGTGTGTGTGTGTTAGCAAATGCAGAGAGGTGAGGGGACATGTGCGCCATCAACAGCAACAGCCAAGTCTCACCCCAGATTGCCCAGACCCAGCAGTCCCCTGCTGAACTGCCCTGTCCCTCCGAGGGTCCCCAGCCATGAACCAGAGACAAGACATCTGCTGCCACAGTCAGGAGCCAGTGTTGGCTGCTCTTTCTTTACCCAGAAGGGAGTTGAAAAAACAAGTATGTAGAGGCAGTAGGGATGTCAGTGCTGTGCGGGAAGTCTACCTGGTCTGACCATCAAAGCCATCAGGCCAAGAATGAGCCCTTGCCTGATGGCAGCTGCCTGGGGCCAGTACATCCCAAACTGTGTTCTGAACTGGAGGGTGAATCAGATGCAGCAGCAGCTGGGCCGGTGGTGTAGGTGGGTCCACTTATGGAGAGGATCCGAGTACCATTTTGTTTCAGCCTCTACTCATGCAGCAGCAAATACTACAGCAGTGGCACTGCATCAGTTGCCTCTCCATTTCCAGGCTAAGGAAACTGAGGCTTAGGGATGCTCATCCATGTCCAGGTGGCCAGCTTAAGTGGCAGATTCATGCCCCAAACCCAGCTCTGGTGGCTTATAAAGGCTTCGCTGCTACACAATCATGCCTTCTCCAAGTGGCCTTCTACCCTAATCGCTGCCCTCATTCCCTACTCTCCGTTCAGTAGGCAGGGTTAGCCTGCATCTTCTGAGTTCGCTCTTTTCACAGGCATCTGCTTAGAGAAATTTTGTAGGCCACAAGATTTTCTTTACATTCATCATGAAGTGTGAAGAAAATACATTCTGTGATGCAGGGTCGTTTCTAGTGCTTTGTAAGTCAGAGACTGGGGCTCAGAGAGGTGAAGGGACATGTCCAAGGGTCATTGTAGGCTGTATAAATGGAGCAGGTCACACAGGGTATCTGTGCTTCTCTCCCTAACGTGCCCTCATGGAACTTTACAGGGTTCTTTGATGCCCGAGCCCTGGCTGTAGACTTCCGGAGCATTGGCTTTCGGGAATGCCTCACCGAGGTCATCAGGTACTTGGGGGTCCTGGAAGGACCCAGTAGCCATGCAGACCCTGTCCGGATTCGCCTTCTCTCCCACCTCAACAGCTATGCAGCTGAGATGGAGCCTTCACCCACACCGACTGGTGCTCTGGCCTTCCCTGTGTGGCCCTGGTCCTTCCTCCATAGCTGTCCAGGGTGGCCTTCCCTGAGCAGCCAGCTCGCTATTCTGGGAAGAGTACCTGGCCCTGTCCTCCCCAGTGTCACCTCTCCCACTTACCCCATCTCAGCCCTCCGGTCCACACCGGTCCACAGAGTGGCTGGTACCATCCTGCCAGCACGGAGGAATTTGTTGCCCAGCCGAGGGGCAACTTCCACCCAGAGAGCCCATCCTCCTGAGAGGCCAGCCGCCCCTCCCCCCACAGCCCCCGGTAGCAGGGCTGCCAGGAGCAACCATGTAGTCCGCAACATGCCATCTTCCTCTCCAACTGCCCCTGGAGCTGGGAAATCTGATGACAGTGTGTCCGGTCCCATCTCCAGTCCTTCTCCTCTGGGGACAACTGGGAGGCCTGCAGGAGCAGTACTCTATCACTCCTGGGTGTCTGAAATCACTGAAATTGGGGCTTTCTGAGCTGACCCCCCCCCCACACACACACACAAAACCATCCCCTAGGAATGAGGAACATTCTTACTTTCCCTCATGAGCTCTGAAAATGCTGCCTCCTCTTCTGGAATGGCTTCTATACAAAGACATCTCTCCTTGTCCCTCAGAACCCCACCCCCACCCTCCTCACCAACAATCCTGCTGCCAGCCTGGTTCCCCTGCGGCCTTTTCAGAGCTCAGAGCCTTAGTCTCATCTCCCACAGGCATAGAAGCGTTGTATGGTGCCTTGTGGCCACCTCGGTATTATGGACCCAGTACCGTGGACCTTGGGCCTGGAGTTGAAGCTTTAACCTAAAGATTCCATGGAGGGGTAGGCTGCTCACATGAAGAGGTGGGACTCCCAGTCCTGAGGACTGGTGGGATTCAGCCACCCCAGGCCAACAGGATGGAACGCACTGTCTGCCTTCACTTCCTGAGATAGAAACGAAGCAGGAGCTATTGAGATGTCTGCAGCCTGCCCCGTAACAGTGAAGCACAGGGCAGATCTGTCCATCTGTCCTCCAATCAGCTAAGGCCTATAGCTTCCATCATCCCGTTTTCAGATGCACACACGGCCAGCCACGAAGGCTGGACAAGCCAGGCCAGGAGGATTCCTCACAGTAGCGAAGCTCTGTGGCAGGGTGTTCTACCGCCAGCTCTCAGACAGGAGCCAGGCCTGAAGATCAACAAGAGAGCGCCACTCCCCTTCTCCTGGGCACCATCCTCCAGGACTACGGCCCTTCCCTCAGGGTCCCCTGTGTGCAGGACCTGTGACCCTGATGGTGGCACCCCAAGAGGCTTTCTCTTGGGATTCAGCGCCAGACATCTGAGCTGCCTGGTTTGCATCCGGCTCCTAGAGCCCAGACTGCTGCCACAGCCAAGGGCTGTCAGGCTGGATAAAAATAACTCAGAGGAGGGGGAGAACAGGCAGAGGCAGCTGGGCTCTCCAAGGTCATGCAGTGGGTCGAGGGCCTGAGAGCCTGCTCACCCACATTTCACACAGCTGGCTCTGCTCAGAGGCCAGCCCCGCCTCAGGCAGCTCGCCTCTCTAATGGGAATAAATGACCAGCGGTACACCAGACACTGAACTGACATTTAGGGTTGCCCTATCTGTACACAAAGTGTGGAAACACTTCTGTCCCCTCCAGTGGGCACCTGCTTCCACAGTTCCCCTGAGGACCACCCACCATGCCATCTGGGAATGCCCTGGTTAATGCCTGTCAAACCAAGATTTTTATTCACTGGTGCTGGGGCCATGCTGAATATGAAATACTTTCAAGGTTGTCTCAGAAAGCCTCCCCCCTCCCCCGTCCCAGCCTTCGATGGAACCATGGTCCTCAGAGCTGTAATAAGGGCACAAGAGTAGAGTTTACAAAACCATGGGCGCAAAAGGGTCATTTCAGAAAAGCAGGGCAGAGGGCAGAGGCTACCTGAGTGGCCTAGAAAGCTTTAGTGCATAAGTCAAGAAGAGATAGACTTCCTTCTCTCCTTAGTGGAAGCAGGCATTTTCATCTTGCTGCCATGTTAGACCCGTCTGAAGGCATCCCTGTGGAGTGCATCGTTCAGGAAGGGTAGAAGAGTCATGCAGGGGGTGGGGAGATGTGATAGAGGTTCCTGGATATTAGGGTCTTACTGCAGCCTGCAGTTTGGCAGCTCCTAGCCACATTCACTCAGGGCTGCACTACGGGAAACACATTTCTGCGTTGCAGGTACCTGAACTGCAAAGCAGTCTGTTGACCCCGTGGAAATATGGCAGAAATGGCTGAACCCTTTGAGCATCTATCCTGGTTGATCTTGGGTTCCTTGCCTCAGGACACTGGGCAGGTGACCCTTCCCCCGACACCCAACTGAGTATTCAAGTCTCCTGTTTCTAATCCCAAGTCTTTCTGGTGCCCCCAACATTCTCATCCCACCGCAGGGTGTCACAGACAAGCAATAAAGATGTTTAGTTCTGGAAACTTCTACTTCCTGGATGTCTGGAGTCTCTGAACCCATAGCCCCAGGTCTGGCAATGCCCCCTCTCCCCTAGGTTATTCCTCCAGCTCCCTGGCTTGGCTCTGGCTGTCAGTCAGCTCTCAGCAGCCACTGGAGAGAATGTGGCATGTGCAGAGCACATCATAGCAACCCAGCCTGAGACCTAGATGGCCCCGCCCACACACCCTGTTATTCAGATGATAAAAAGCAGAGCTCTTTTTTTTTTTTTAAATCCTAACCTAATTTATAACCTTGTTTTTTGCTGGCCCCAGACTTGCTCAGTGCTTATGCTACACTGGCCTGTTCTCATATCCCCAGTGTTCCCATCTTGTTTTGCTTGTTTGTTTAGTTGGTTGGTTGTTTTTCGAGACAGGGTTTCTGTCCTGGAACTTGCACTGTAGACCAGGCTGGCTTCAAACTCACAGGGATCGCCTGCCTCTGCCTCCAAGTGCTAGGATTAAAGGCCACCAGTATTCCCATCTTTAGAACTTCTCCCCTGAGGTTCCCAGAATGCTCCTCCCTCCTCTTTCCATAAACTACTTCAGCTCCTCAGGCCTTGCCTTCCATGTCGCCTCCTCCTGGAGGCCTTTAAGGATTAATGGGCTTGAATAGCTCATTCATCTCATAAGTCCTCATGTTTCCATTCATGGAGAGTTGGCTAATGCATACCTGCGTGTGTATTGGTTAGGTATATTCCCCCATTGGACTGTAAGCTCAGTGAGGCCAGTGTTCCCATCCCAGCGCTGAGCACAATGCTCATCATAACTGTCCTATGAACTTTTGTTGAGTACTTAGATGAAGGACTTGAGAAGGCTTTTAGTTTTCTATGTGGCTGGATTCCACCCTCACACTGATGGCTGGCTTAGAGAAGAGACAGGAGAGCCAAGGCTGAGGGACGGGGCGTTCTGGCAGAATGGTCAGAAGTTCCTGGCCAGAGGAGAGACAAGCGTGTTGGCCCTGGAGTGCATGCTGACTGCTGAGCCTGCCAAGGGGTTTGTTCTTTGCTCTTGGCTTAGCTCCGCAATGTATCCAGCCCCCAACAAATCCAACATTCGTGGAGAGCCACACTGTGCCAGCCAGGCCTGGTAGAGCCAAAGGTAACAAACATAGAGTCGCTTAGAGGGCAGCATATCCTCTGCCTAGATAAGATGGGCATGGAACAGTCTCTGGAGAAGGCTGAGGGCAGCAGGATGGGTGTGCATCTCTGGGTAGGTAGGTAGGTTGTGGGTGGGGCCCTGGAAGGAAGCCCTCCTGGAGGGACTCCCTTGCAGAAATCTGGAAATTCACCCAGGAAGCTACAGAAGCAGGTATGGAGCTGAGTGCAGGCCCTCAGTGCAAGTGAAAGATGGGCTAGCCTGAGCTCTGAGACGCACCTTCATTGTCAATGGGAAGTGATTTTCCTCTGGTTCTTTGCCTTTCTACGCTTAATGTTTCCATCTGTAAGATAGCCATGATGCAGTAATGGCTACCCACAAATGTGCATAAACACAAATAAAAATGTAATAAAATTGTTTTAAAGAAAAAGTATTTGGTGCTACTGAGCATGGAGGTGCGTCTGTAACCTCAGCATTCAGACCGAGACGCAAGAGGATCAGGAGTTCAAGGCTAGCCTTGGCAATGTGAGACTCTCAGATAAGCAATGGGGGGAGGTACTAGAGAGAGATGGCCCAGGGGTTAAGAGCACTTGTGGCTCTTGCAAAGGACCCAGGTTTGGTTCCCAGTGTGACATCCAACAAACACCTGTAACTTGGCTCCCAAGGCCTGCTTCTTGCCTCCTTGGTACTGTTAGCTTATGATGCAGATGTGCAGGCAGAACACCCATACACATAAAACCAAATTACAACACCACAAATGATGATAAAAAAGAAGTGGGAGACAGGAGGAGGAGATTCAGCCTCACCTCCAAACACCTAGATGCTTTTGTAAACATAGTAGCCAGCCTGGTGACTGTGGTTTAACCTACCCAGGCAGGGCCCAGCCTCTCATTAGGAGATACAAAGAGAAGAATCAGAATCTCACCCAGTGAGGACATTTCTATTAATAGGTTGACTAGAGTCCAACTTGAAGAAGGATGACACTTACTTGATTACTTACTTTTAGGGCTTTGGGATTTTTTTTATTTTGTTTTTTGTTTGTTTGCTTGTTTTTGTTTTCTCATTGGTTAGGTGGGTGGTTTTGTTTTATTTACAGAGCTTAAAAAGGATCCAGACTGGCTTTGAACTCTATATAGCTGAGGATGTCCTTGAACTTCCGATCCTGCCTCTACTTCTCAAAGGCTGGGATTACAGGTGTGCCCCATCATACCTGGCTTTTGCAGTCTATGCTGGTGATCGAGCTCAGGACTTCATGTGTGCCAAGAAAGCAGTCTGCAGACTGGACCACACCCCAACCTAAAGCTGATGGCTTTCTGAGAAGCAGGGTAGACTTTATTTCCATGGGGACATTACCGTCCCTGGCCCCTCTCCCAGTCTCCAGCCCATAGCAGAAGATTAAGGAGTGCTTCATCTGTGCTGCTGTGACTCGAATGTGGTTTGATTAATCTACAGTGCACAGTAAGGCAGGAAACCCATTGAAGCAAGGCTCCAAAGTCCGTCCAGGTAAACGAGGAGACACAAATATCTGGGGCAGTAGCAGACGCTCCCTGATCATGCTCCCATGGCAGGCATTACTAATCAATTTCACAGCCTGCCTCCTTCTTATTTTTTTCTTACGATTTATTTTTTATTTTATTTGGGGGTGTCTGAGTCAGTGTCCTATTGCTGTGAAGGCACACCATGACCACAGCAACTCTTCTAAAGGGAAGCATTTAATTGGGGCTGGCTTACAGTTTTAGAGGTTCAGTCCAGTATCCTCATGGTGCCATAAAGTTAGACATGATGCTGGAGAGGTAGCTGTGAGTTCTACATCCAGATAGGCAGACAGTAGAAGAGAGAGGCTCTGGGCCTGGCTTGAGCATTTGAAACCCCAAAGCCCACCCCTGTGAAACACTTCATCCAAGAAGGCCATACCTCATAACTCCTGTCAAGTAACACCACTCCCTAATGATGAAGCATCCAAATCTATGAGCCTATGGAGGCCATTTCTATTCAAACCACGGTGTGCGTGTGCGTGTGTGTGTGTGTGTGTGTGTGTGTGTGTGTGTGTGTGTGTTTGCGTGTGTGTATGTTGCTCATGTGGAGGCCAGGAATCAGTTCCCTCCTACCATGTTTTTCAGGAAGGCTCTCTCCATTTCTGCTGTTGCTCTCCATAGTCTAATGTTGTGGTTTAATAAGGATCAAGAGAAACAAATAGGCCGAATAGATGTTTATTCAGGGAGAAATAACTTACAACGTAGACAGATGGACACTAGCAGGCTCCTGGTCCCAAGGATGCCTCCGGATCCCTCCTGTGCACATCCCTCCAGCAAGAGAGCGTTCCCCCAGGTCACTTCTGCCCATCTCCACCCCTAATGGTCGTGGTCAGTGTCACAGATGTGGAGAAAGTGAATATCTCACTACATTCTAGCTTCCAGCTGGTTTTTGGTTTTGCCTCCCACCTGGCCACAGAAGTGCTGGCATCACAGGCGGGCACCTCCACATCTAGCTTTTATATGGGTTCCTGGGGCTAAATTCACATCAATCACCAGGCTTGCAATGCAAGTACTTTACCTACTGTACCCCCTCACCTGCCCACCCTTATCCCTTCTAAAGACAGCTGAAATCCAGAACCAAACTTGATTAATCATTGTTGCTGCAGGCGATAAAACCCACTTGCCTTCTAGACTCTGACTAGCTGTGCTTGGCCCTCACTCCGGACTGAGTTCATGGGTAACCAGGTTTGGGGATTTCCAGTTTTGTTCCTGCAGTGTATGAATATAACATGGCCGAAGCACCTGCCCCATGCCATGACCAGCAGGGAATATGTGTGGGTGTCTTCCATGCTGCCTTAGTGTCTGAGCTCCTATTGAGATTCCATGTGGGGTGGTATATGGTGGCCGGGAGAGGCGCTGCAGCAGGCTTCTGACACAGCCAGGCACTTAAGGAGCTGAAGGGGGAACACAGTCCTGGGCAGAGCTCTAGCAACTTCCCTGCTTGGCCAGAGACAAGGCTAGGATTGATGCCTCCCACTGAGGCCCACAATACCCAGACTTGGATTCCTATAGCCAGTGTCTCAGAGGCGTCTGGCACTACCATGTCCAAAGCCACATGCCAGATCCCTTCAGATCTAGTTCCTCTCCCTGACAAACTCTTCAGGCTTCAGTGTTTCTGGAAAAAGCAACTAGGTCTTCTGGTTGCTCCAGCATAAGAGTTCTGGAGGCAGGAAGGATCTCTGTGAGTTCAAAGCCAGCCTGGTCTACAGGGTGAGTTCCAAGAAAGCCAAAGTTATACAGAGAAACCCCTTCTCAAAAAACAAAGAAAGAAAAAGAGAGAGGGAGGAAGAATGAAAGGAAGGTAGGTTCTGAAGTTGTCCCTCAAACAAATCTGTCTCTCCTCTCTGTGTCGGTCTCTCTCTATCTCTCTCTCAGATTAATTTATTTTGTATTTGAGTATTTGCCTGCATGCATGTAGCTGCACCCCAAAGGCCCTGCTCCTGGATGTCTGTGCGGCACCTGATGCCCACACAGCTGGTTGTCTGTCTCCCTTAAATTGTCCTCAATGCCAGTGCGATACGGGTTTCTCTAACAGTCCCCTCCTAGTGCGTGCTTCCTCGAGCCTCAGCGTTCCAGCTCTTTCTTCTCAGCCCTAGTTTTGGCATTCTTTATATTCATACTAAGAATATTACTGCAACATCAAGATTAGCCTGATCTACATAGGGAGCTCCAGGCCAGAAGGGGCTACATTTTAAGACACTGTCTCAAGTAATAATGCCAACAACAATAGTAATAATAAATAAAATGGAAACCTAAACCTTTTCTGGTTTTTGTTTGTCAGTTTCTTCAGGTGATACGAAGTTTCCTTTCCTTTTCTTTTTTTATCTTGTTGTTTTTTTTAAGGTAGGGTCTCAC